AAAGAGTATGTATAATGTACAAAACATTGATACAATTGATGAATATTTACAGCTACGGCTTCAATACCGTGGACGATTTTGGCCCGATCGTCAACAAAACATCACCCGTCTCAGGGCAGGCGACTGGAAAAAGACACCGGTGTTCGGTCGAACCGGTGGAAACAAAATCTTCACTCCCAGAATAACTATGCAAAATAACGATCTAAAGTCGAACCATTCGAGCCACAATATTAACATAAAAATGACTTTCGTTGCATTTTACAATGATAAACTTACCGAAAAGCCGTGTCATTCTCGGTCGCTAACGTCGGTATAATCCACCATTTTATTTGAGTCTGTTTGCTACCTGACTCTGCCCGGTGACGTCATCATGTGCGCTATAGAAGGAGGTCTGTGATTCGTTGACTAAAATCGTCGATAGTGGGTCTCGTTGAAATCTCGTTACATAGGCATCGGCTCAGATGTAGGTAGGGCGGAATTTTAAAAAAAATCAAAGTAAAATAATAAAATAAAAGGGCATTAATAACAAAAGTAATGAAAAATAAAATTAAAATAACTTCATAGCTAAAATAATTAAAGCCCGTACACTACATCAGATTTTAATCAGATTGGAAATTATGTTCCTTAAAATAATTAAACAAATAAGGCATGTTTTTGTAAGATATTTACATCTTTTAAGGACATTCGGTAGACTGATTCCCCACTGTTGGTTCAACCCCAAAACTTGTTTGTATTCAAAATTAATTATGACAATGCATATTTATATTGAAACAAACTATGATAAAGGGAATTATATTATATAACAAAGGGCAAGGTCACCAGAGTTCAACTATGTTTTTGCCCTGATACTGTACTGCTCTATTAGAAGCATATTTTCAATAATATCACATATACATCCAAAGTGCTTTTATTCCAAAAATATTACTCATTTTGATCATAGAAATAACTCTAAATGCTACTACCGTAATAGAGCAAATACCATATATTAGAAAAAACAAACCAATTTATTCAGTGGCAAATTTTATGGGTTAGTCCACTGAAAAAATAAAAATATATTGATTATAGCCTTATTGCATAGGTCAACAACCATTACAAATCTAATAATGTAACCTTTGCACCATGGGAACATAAATCATTTTGTTGGTCCCTTTAAAACAACTTTGAATTGTAAAGGCTGAAAATGAAATAAATTTAAACTTTTTTTTCATTTTCTTGTGTAAACATTACACAGAATTCAAGCTATTGTGTGATACACTGATACAATGAAATAATTTCATGATCTGGTATTTTTGGGTTGGTCAATTTATTATTGTACACAAATTTTTTTTGGGGGGTGGGGTGGAGATTGTCTCATCTATCTATCTATCTTTCTATGGATTTTTGAAATTATTTTAAAATCATACATAATATTAACAATCAATATAAATTTATATACAACTAATTTTAAAAATGATTGATGATTTTCATAATAGATTTATGCTTTTTGTAAACTACCATACCTATATGTACTTTCTGTTACTTCTGAGACATTGATGTTACCACTGTTTAGTTTTTTTTAAATAAATAACACTCTTTGAATTGTTTATACAAATAAGACGTTAAACATGCGTATATATGATTTTTGTACAATGTGCTGATGTTAGTGATTGAAACTGAAGGAAATATTAAAAGGTATAGAGGCATTCATGCCATCCATCTAGGTGGCCTTCATGACCTTTTTTGAATTTTGAGCCTTGTATTTGTATCTTTCTCATGTCAAATTACAATGTAAGACACCTATACTTGAATACAGAGAATTGTTAACACGTTCTAATTGTTTTGATATTAACGTATATCGTTAATACCTGGGTATATTGAATTATTGTTCTTGTGAAATCGGCAACCCAGTATTAAAACTACTTTTAACAGTTCTGCTAATAAAATCAGCAGCCACATAAATTATTGCAAGTGGAAGCAACACGACAGGCAACTGTGGTATTTTTTGTGTGTGTGTCAACTATTCGTAAATGCGAACGTGAGATGTCAAACGTCATCCATTTTTTTCGCACGTAGACAGCCAATGATCGTCAGTGTGTTATTTGTTTTTAATTCAATAAATGTGAAAAAAGTAAGATTGTTGAGGTATGAGTATCACTAATTACTCACTGTACAATCAAGATGTACATTATTTTTATTTCTCGTCAAAATCTTGTATGTCAATGAATGATGTACTGAAAAAACTATGTCGATTTGGAGAAATTAGGCGCAGTAATTTGAAACTTTTGACACTATGATGAATGAGGACTAATTTTACAACATGTACCAGACATTAGACAGCACATCAGTCTCTTTGATGTTTGCCACAGTTGTGTGAACCTGTAATATTTATTAGCCTATATATATCAGGTCTAATAACACTTTTATTTGTAAAGTGAAACAATTCAGCAACAAGTACATGCACTATAAATTACTGTAAAAGGATTAATTATTCACTGGGTTTTAATTTAGCTTATTTCGCTGACTGGAAAATGCGCTAAATTAAAACCCAGTGAATATGTAAAATTTAGCATAGAACACATTATTAGTCCCCGTTCGGACGCTGTCCGAAAACGGGGACTTATGTTTTGCCCTGTGTGCGTCCGTCCGTGCGTCCGTGATCACCTGTATCTCGAACATGCATGGACCGATTAAGTTCAAACTTCACTCATACATCACACATTATATGGGACATATGCACATGCATTTTTTTCATGATCCAATTAACGATAGCCGAATAGCGGCCATTTTAAGGCCGAAAATGCATCAAAATCGCACATTTTCACCATTCCGGACCCGGATCTCAGTTATGCATGGACGAATTTTGTTCAAATTTGGTACATACATT